CAATTTAGTCCAACTGGTTTGAGCATCCAGGCAATCATAGCACAATGATGAACAAGTTGCCATAGTTCCTACCTTCATCYAGGTTGATGAAATCTTGTTTTCTCTCTTCTTCTCCAGTCCTCTTGTTCATAGAGCGTTCAATCACATGACCTCTGTCACCTAGCAACAAACAACAATCCAGGTGACCATGGTGCAATACAACACAGGAACCCCAATACTTAAAATCAAAGAATCCAAATACTAAGAACATAAACATCCCACTTCTGATTCTCTGATTGACTACGTTCAATGCTTATCATRCACAGGAAGGCACTGAACTAAACTTGGGCAAACCCAGGAAGCCTAAAACTGAGGACCTACACAGGGATCCCAACCATACKTACCAATGTGGTGCCCAACAGCCATTCGATGCACTCCACTTTCTGAGTCTCTTATTGCATTTCTTGTTTCTTTTATCCCTCCTGGAGCATTCTTGGTTGAATGGTGAGCTTGGAAGTACTTAGGCTCTCCACTTCCATCATTGGAATAGCTCATGACAGAGGACTGGGAATAGGAATAGGTATTGGGATTGTTTGCTGCTCTTGCCTAAAAAYAAAAAATAATGAACAATTAGTTTTACAATGAAATAAGTGAAGATAAACTGAAATAGAAAAGATGGAATGCAAGTAAGAATGCTTGAAAGAAAGGAAGGAAGGCAGTCAGAAGTTAGGAAGGATGGAAAAAAGGGAAATGAAATGGAGAGAAGGTATTTAGGGAATAAGAAAGAAGAAAGAAATRGAGAAAGGAAGGACCAAGACAGTACCATACAAAGTGGGAGACTAGGACAACTAGGAAAGAAATGTGACGCAAAAAAAGGACAGAAACAAAACAAGAATTTTCCCAATTTCTATCGAAAAACTACAACTTACAAATTGTTCTTCCATGTCACGAAACATACTGTTCATTCCAAACATTCCGCCCTGTAAATCCCTGGGKGCAACATCTCTGTCCCTACCCCCCTGGGGTTCTCTGTGTCTGTCATCACGAGGCGGGGCACCAAGAGCAAAGGCACCACGTCCAAAGAATCTGTCAATGTTGTCAAAAGCTCCAAACGTTTGCCTCATTCTGTCATGGTGTTCCCTGCAGAAATACAAGAAAGTTTTGCAAAAAAATTATACTTTAAAATCTTCCCACGTTGACAGTTTTTTCACTCTAGAAACTGAATGTTACTCAAAAGCTTCATTTCCAGAAAACTCGCTGAATTCAATCGTTTTATTGATGAGGAAAGATAGTATCTTACATTAAACGATAAAAACACAAAAGAGAAGCAAATTGTTTCTCCAAGAAAGGTTTTGTAATAATTCTTGGAGAAACAGCTGACGAAAACTTCAAACCGTTCAAAGAAATCATTCAAAATTCAGCACTTCAAGTTACTTGAGCTTGGAATACAAATTGTAGAAAACATATGTAATCGAGGATTGTSTTTTACATAGCTCTTTGGAAGCCAGACATCATATTTTCTATCGCCTTCACATCCATGTTGACACAACAGCTTGTATTCATGTARGCTAAATCGTCACGCTCTAGTTCAACGCGTACATGTGAACATAGCAGTGAAAAAAGCAGCTTTTTCTTCTTGCCTACCTGAAAAACGGGTCTTCTTCAAACGGCCGAAAACCAAAGCCGAACATATCTGAAGAAATTCGCCCAGATAATGTGGATAATGAAGAGTTTTGCTGAAATATT